GACAAAGTAATAGACTTTTTAAAAACTTCAAAGTTTCATCATTTACTTTCCCATTAACATCTCATCTATGTTTTGTTTAAGTTTATTCGTAGGTAGCTTTAGCTATGTTATGGGGATCCCTAGTGTCATAGTGGGTGACAGGTGGGTGGCAAGCTCTCAGGTGAGGATGGTAAGCCCAGCGGTAGCTCTGTTGGAAAACGATGAAGCTTTCTGCTCCTTTAAATATTTATAGCTTTGGAAATCCAAAGGGGAAAGTTCTACTCTGTTTTGTTGCCAGTATCAATGAGATTTTCTGAATTGTTTTCTAACTGGCTATTGCCAATATGTAGGAATTATTTTATTTTTATACGTTGATATTTCATTCTTTCTCTTGTTTCATTTTACTGGCTAAGTCCACCATCATCATCATATTAGACAGAAGGTAGGATAGCATCTTATTTCTTACCTTAATAGGAGCATATGACATTTCATTGCCAGGTATGAGAGCTTCAAACGGTTCATGGGAAAAGCCCATTATCTTGGATTTTGGGGCTTGCACTTAATTCTAGCTCCAATGAAGAATGACTAATTCTTACGGCATAGCCCCACTTGACCCCACCCCACCCCCTTGAAGGGATCCCTGAAGATATGAGTCCTATAAAAACGTGGTGCAAAAACTAGATGGTGCCCGGCTATCAGCAAGGATAGCATCGGGGGTCTTAAAGGCTTGTCTTCAAACAAGCAGCCCTCTAAGTGAGGTACAAACTAAGTCAACATGGAAGAAATACACCAGCCTATATGATCTAAGGATTGTAAATAATATAATACAAATCTCAAGGAGTAAATAGTATCAGAGTATATGTTCTGAACACCCAGTTTGCAGGCGACGAAAGATAGAGTAAGCCCCAGTTCTAGTTGCTGGATGCACACACACAGATTAATACTCCAGTGAATCTCCTCTGACTGTAGTCCAGGGGTGGGACTAGCCTTGTTATCAGACAGACAGCATGGTAAAGTCAAGTATGGCCGAAGTAGTTAGGTCATGAGGTCTTATCACTTGAGCTCCCTTTTGACCCGTTAAAGTTTTCCGCATTATCCCCTCATTCCATTTTCCCAAGGACTTTTTGAAGCATGCTCTTATGAATTGCAGTGTGTTCCTTGCATCCATGATATTCATAGTTTGTAACTAAAATTTTTGACCCAAGAGAGGCTGCTTCAGTCCTTCCTGCTTTCCTGGACCAAGATTTTGTCTCATTCCTATTTTATCCTCAATTT